GGGCTGGACATTGAGTCAGGTGAGTCTTCTCCATTTCATCCTGTAGGTTACTTAGGGAGCATGTGGGTTGAGTGTATAGTCCCAATCTGTGAAGATGTTTTGCCAAGCAATCGTGTCCAGTACTTAGTCTAAACTCAGCTTCGATTCTTGGCCAGTCGGCTATGTGATTCTCCTTTGTTCGAGCTTTAAGTTCGTTGCACCTTGACTGTATACTCCCAATCTTTGAAGGTGTTTTGCCAGGCAATCCGTCCGGTACGTAGTCTAAACTCAGCAACGGCTTCGATTCTTGGCCAAAGTTAAACTCAGCAACGGCTTCGATTCTTGGCCAGTCGGCAACGGCTTCGATTCCTGGCCAGTCGGTTATATCGGAGAGTGCCAACTGTGTTTCTCCTTTGTTCGAGCTTTAATTTCGTTGCCTTCTCCTTTGTTCGAGCTTTAAGTTCGTTGCACCTTGACTTCTCCTTTGTTCGAGCTTTAAGTTCGTTGCACCTTGAGGCCTTGAATTCTCTCCTGATTAGGACCTTCATTGTGGAGAAAGACATCGGCCGGTCCATGCATTGCATTAATTTGACTTCGATTAAGAAATATTTATTTCAAATGGCAGGCGTTTTGATAGCTATCATTAGCCATTTAGCTGACTTCGGGCTTCATAGAGGGAAGGTTAATCAAAGTAGAAGAAAGTCGAGAGGTGGGGAACAGAAGAGCGATTCACAGATGTAAAAGAGGCAGACAAACACAAAGATAGAGAATAAGGTAAAATAGGTACTGCGGAAAAAGTCGAATATAACAAGCAGTCGGGCCATGGTAGTTTTAAGTCAGAAGTCAGCTGCCGGTTAATAGACTTTTTTGCGTATGAGTATACGTTGCCCAGGGTGCACCACGTGGAGGTAAGTCTATCGCACAACCCGATTAAGAAATATAAGAACAAAAAAAGTGGTGGACACCGGAAGGAAGAAAGGAGCACACGATGAAGCGGGGAACGGAAGTGAATGAAGGCATCAGTAGTGAGTAGAGGCACTTTGCGTTGTGGTAGGCAGGATTAATTGATGTGTCTTGAAATACTTGAGAGATTCGATCTCATGTGGTATTTAATTGGCAACCGCCTAATTATGCGAATGTACATTCACGAACGTGGAGTTGACGGGCTCACCTATGCTTTGTTGTTTTAGCTTGATTCTTGACTTTTCTTCCTCTGTTCTTTAGATTCGATGAGGTGAATGTGAATGAGATTTGGGTGATTAGCTCTATTCTAGCCGATAATGAATTGAGGGAAAGATGTATTATCAAGATTGCACGTGATTTCGATTCTTTTATCAAAGATCAGAAGTGTTTGAGGTGGACTACCGCGAAGGACATGGAGGCACTTCTTAGTAGCCTCTGGTTATGGGCACCAAGTGAGGACTCGAGGTTGAAAGCTATTTTATCATGGATAAACGCAGCTCCTTCATCGCGTGAAAAAGTCTCGCGTGAAGCCTTCCTCTCACGTCTTCTCACAAATGTAAATGTCAACAAACTTTCCAGTTCCTTTAGCGATGAAGCGATCCTGGAGGAGTCAGACATTATCATTTCGGACAGGTCAAGGTATGCGAAACAATTAAACTTATGTTTAATTATCTCAAGACATGCACTTCAAGAATATAGGACAACATGTAATAAATCCGGGGAAAAGAGGTGGGTATATTTTTGACAAGCTTTTCTATGTCCATATTTCCTACAACTTTATGCATTTCACAGAATGAGGGACAGAATTTTTATTTACGGAAATGGCGTGAGCATCGACTTACCTTTTCTATCAGCAGCACCAAATGTTAAGGGCATGGAAAAGATGTTTAAGTTACCCTACAGAACGGATATCTGCACAGTTGCCTGTGACGGTAAGTTGACTGTTCAATATTGTCTTTTGAACCAACACCACACGATCTCAACTTTCATCTCTCCTTCATTTTAGAATATATTTATGTGATTGGAGGTAAGACAAGGGAAGGGTCTATTTGTTCCAATGCCTTAAAAGTAAATCCTTGCAATGGCGTGGTGGCAGAGACTGCACCAATGACAGAGGGAAGATATTCGGCTTCCGCAGTTACTGTCGGCCATGAAATTCTTGTTTTTGGGGGTCGAAGCAATAAAGAAGTTCTTTCCACCTGTGAAAAGTATTCTCCGTGGAATTATAGGTATGCATTGAGTGTTTTTACGTCATGATAAACTGTGCTTACCTCCATTGGAGTATTAGTTGATTTGCCATGATTGCATTGGCATTGGACGCCTTATGTGCTCTTGTTTAGGGCATAGGCTTCTGGCCATCCTGTTTACTAGAGCAGTGGGTGAACCTGTCTGTACCTTCTGGAGACCATCATTTTGAACTTCTTCTAATGTATATTTAAAATTTGAACCAAAATTGAATGGAGACCATCATTGTAGTTTTTGAGAGAGTGTATTGTATTGTGAAATATCGCAAATCTTACAACTTCGTATCCCCAATTCCTTTGAGGGAATTTTATTGCAATATAAATGTTATTTAAATTTACGCTTGATTGCCATCACATGTCAAATTACATTTAGTCGTTGTGAGGTAAGTGAAGCCAGTTTGCCTATTTCAGATGGATAGCACTTCCCAATATGTCCACTCAAAGAATAAATAGTGGAGCAGTACACGTACCAGATCAAGGAGTTTTCGTTCTTGGTGGAAACATCGATCTGAATCATAGACAATCAAATACAGTAGAATTGTTTATAAGTTCTGGAAAAAATCCAACTTGGTGTTCAGTCACGTCAATGTTGAAACCAAGGGCCTCTCCTGCAGCGGAATTCTTCAAGGGTTGTGTTTATGTTGCCGGTGGTTCGGGCACACAAACAGAGACTGTAGAGTATCTTTCCTTTACTGATGGCCTACCAGATCAGTGGACGCTGATTCCGCAATCCTTTACCTTTTATGGTGGTTTGCTTTCAATGTTGGCAGTGAGTGACCATCTCTACGTTGGAAGTAAGTTTTGAAGTATATTTCTATGTTGCTCTTACAAGCCAACACCAAATCCCTCTAAGTTAATTGTTAAAACAGCAACTGGAACAAAAGTTTATGAACTGGAAACGCCTCAAGGTGAAGACGTGAGTGCAATTACATCTCATTTAATACTTAACTGTAGCTCAATCACTGTTGAAATGTGTGTACCTATTGCAGGATGGGAATCAAAGAGGATACAGTTGGAAACTTCGATTTCAAGTGCAAAAGGTGAAAAATCTTCGGCTTCTGAAGGTCCATATGAACGACTAACCACTCACATATTAATCCAAAATTAAATAAACTTGTCGTTAAAGTTAAATAAACTTTAATTTTGCAAAAATCGTTGTTCTAACATTTGCATCTTTATATTCAATATTTTTTTCAAACTTACAATTAAAATAACTTTAATGGGACCTTCCCATCTCAGAGCCTACATATTACGATCAAGGCATACATTAAATATAAAAAACGGTTCCAATTAGTCTGCCAGTTTTAAGCCATTTAGACTATAAATGCTCATGAGTAGCAATCTCTTTCCAAATTGAATTGAAAGTAGGAAGGAATTAGTGTTTATTGAATAATAATAATAATTAAAGTAGACTCATATTTCGACGTAGAATATTTCTCACAGGTGTTAGGAGTATGTACTTCATGATTTCAACTGCAGGAATTACCCTTTACAACTCTGCAAATATTGTATCACTTCCTGTATTACCACTCCAATCACACAAATATTTATTTATTTATTTCAAATGGCAGGCTTTATGATATTTACCATTAACCCTTAGTCTCTGACTTCAGCTTCCCCCAAGGGGGGGGGGGGTTCATTTATAGCAGTTATATTAATAGTAATTCATTAGCTGTCTTCTTGCTTCCCAGTATCTTTGGCTTTCCGTCCTTGTCTTTAGGGCTGGACACCGAATCAGGTGGGTCTTCTCCATTTCCTCATGTAGGTTACATAGAGGGCATGTGGGTTGAGTGCATACTCCCAATCTGTGAAGGTGTTTTGCCAAGCAATCGTGTCCGGTACGTAGTCTAAACTCAGCAACGGCTGCGATTCTTGGCCAGTCGGCTATGTCGGAGAGTGTCACTGTCCACAGTTTCTCCGTTGTTCGAGCTTTAAGTTCGTTGCACCTTGAGGTCTGGAATTCTCTTCCGATCAAGGCCTTCATTGTGTGGAAAGACATCGGTCGGTCCATGCATTGCAAAATCGTTGTCCCCTTCTTAGCAAGTGTGTCAGCAAGCTCATTACCTTTAATGCCACAGTGACCAGGAATCCATTGTAGGACCACTGTTTTGTTTTTCTCTCTCAGCAGCTGGTAGGGTTTTCTACATTCCTTTATCTCAGCTGTTTTGGGTGTCTCTCTGTTTCCAATTGAGTTTATTGCTGACTGTGAGTCCGAAAGTATCACCGCTTTGGTGAATTTCGTATCCAGGCAACATAATTGGCGTAGTGCTATCCTAATGGCCTCTATTTCTCCTTCGAAAGCGGATCTTTGGCATCCCGCTGCTGCGTAGAAAGAGAAGAGTTCAGAATAGACACCTGCACCAACGTTTGCTTGGTTTTCTATGTATGGCCCTCAGTGAAGACTTGGAGCCATTGATATACAGGATAGTTGACATTGATTGTCTCAAGGNATGTCTTGGTCTATTCTCATAGGTGCTGAAGAACTTATCCATGAGAATGCGCAGTAGCTTCTTATACAGGATCAAGGCCTTTTCTTTGATAAGGGAACCTATTGTGGTGCTTCCTGTAACTTGGAGCATTGCATCAATGGGTGTTGATTTTATCTCTCCAGTAATTAGTCGTAATGCTTGGTTGTGTGCCTTCTCGAGTGGTTTTAGAATCACCTCTGTGGCTGTAATGAGTGGTTCACAGCAACACAACATTATTGGCTGAATAAACATCTTGTAAGTGGTGTCGAGAGTTGAGCTTGCACAGCCCCATAAGCTACCAGCAAGACGCTTCAGTACATTCAATCTATTGGAGACTCGTTCTGCTATTTTAGCAATGTGATTTTTCCACGTTAGCTTTGTGTCAAACGTCATTCCGAGATATGTGAACTCATTGGTTTTTTCTATGGTAGTATCCTTGTACCTTAAAAGTGGGTTTATGCTGTGATGGGCCAAAGAAAAATTTGGAATGCAGTTTTCGCGGTGTTGATTACCATTCCATTGTTGTCGCACCAGTTTGCTAGTAGTTTAAGTGCACTAATAAGAGGGGCGGAATACCAGAGTACCAGATCATCTGCATAAAGTAAACACTTGATGCCTGTGACTGTCTGTGCCAATTCGGCTGTAATTGATGAAGAAATTGAAAAGAGTGCAGCTTGTGACAGCTCCCTGTGGAAGACCTGTTTGTAAAAGATTGGATTTTGATAGAGCATTTCCGTATCTGACATTACATGATTTTTGTCCAATGAATGCTTTTATCCAGTTTAGCATGTTATGCTTAATACCAAACTTTGCCAACTTTAGAATTAGCTTCTCTTTCCATACTAAGTCATATGCTGATTTGATATCGACGAAAACAGCCGTAAGGGTATTTCTTGCATCATGGGCATATTTGATGTGTTGGGAGAAAGAGGCTACTTGTTGGTTTGATGATCTTTGTGGCCTAAAACCTGCTTGTTCACTCCTAAGAATATTATTGGTCTCAACGAACCAGATCAGCCTCCTGTTTACCATTCTTTCCATAAGTTTAGCCAGAACGCTTGCAAGTTAGATAGGCCTATAATTGTCAAAGTTGCTAGGGTCTTTGCCCTTTTTAGTACTGGTATTACTATGGCAACTTTCCATTGGTTAATTAAGAAACTGGTCTCCCAGATTTTGTTGTAAAGCGTAAGCATGGTTTCCTTGGCTTTTGGTCCCATTCTAATTAGAAATTCTGGATGAATACCGTCTTTGCCAGGAGATTTCTTGCACTTGAGCTGTTTTATCGCAGCAGTAAGTTCGCAAGGTCGGAATGGTTCTGTAAGTACAGACAGTAAGGCAGACATTAAGTATATCAAACGCTCCAATTAGTCTGCCAGTGTTAAACCATCTAGACGTCAAATGCTCATGAGTATCAATCTCTTTCTAATTTAAATCGAGAGGAGAGATGAATTTATGTTTATTAAATTATATTAATAAAAGCAGACACTTAAAGTTATCTAAACAACATGGGACTGGAGACAGGGAGTAAGTAAAGAGGAGAGGGAGGTGGAATTAAGGAATCATGGAATAAGGTGGATTTCTCTGACAGTCATCAGAGGGGGGTATTTGGCTCACTTTTAACTTCAGTTTTGTATTGGAGGGCCAAAACTTTGTCAATTGATTCAACTCAACTCAATTATCGGCTTTCGATGTGACAAAATATTAAAGTTGAAGCGATTGTAAGAATTCGAAACGTTATTAACAAAAGGTTTGTCGACAAATGATTCGTGCAGTTTTGGTCACTTTATTACACTTTCCCCTATCTCGAAATCACATGTCGGACTTTTCAAATTAATTCATATATATGTCCTTAACATTGACAATCGTGCGAAAAGTGGATTTCAATAGCATTGGCAAACAGTTGGCACTCGATGAGGAAGTTACATTTTATGGATTGCTGGTCGTCATTTTCAATCTCATCAGCAGTCATTTTTGGCTTTGTGGGAAATGGCGAGCATTTGAGCAATAATGAAATTAAAAAATTTCCCGTCACTACCAACCACTGACATCAAAGCGCTCAAACGATACACACCTACAATTCTATTGGTGGCTGGAGTGAAGACATGTAGTATTCTGAACCACCAATTTTGTGAAACTCACATTCTCACACTTGGCCATGATTAAGCAATGGGGAAAGCGATTATCTACAATTATTTCTGGGTAGGAAACATGAACACCAAAAAGTCAAAACTCGAATTCCCTGATTTCTTCACTGCCTTCACCTGACTGGTTCGAAAGCCCTTTTCACTATTCTAGTTAACAAATCCCCGTATTCAGACTGTACTATTGATCTTTATACTAGAGGACTGTTGGGACACAGTGTTGGAGTGCACTCATGTTATCTAGGGTTTTCATTGTAAGTGGATTTCGTTACCCGACCACAAGGGACCGATGGAGGGTGGGGGGTGGATGTTTGAGAGACTAAAGACGAACTTTAAGCAGCACACCTGACTAGTACGAACCCCCTTTTCATACAACTATCTTTAGTATGTAGGAAGAGAGTGGGTTACTTGTTGGTTAGTTGGTCTTTTCAGCCTAAAACCTGCTTGTTCATTCCTAAGAATATTGTTAGTCTCAAGAAACCAGGTCAGCCTCCTCTTTATTATTCTTTCCATAAGTTTAGCCAATACGCCTGTGAGGGAGATAGGTCCATGATTGTCAAAGTTGCTAGGGTCTTTACCCTTTTTAGTACTGATAGTACTATGCCAATTTTCCATTGGGTATGTGCGAGATTTGTGTCCCGGATTTTGTTGAAAAGCGTGAGCATGGTTTCCCTGGCTTTTGGGCTCATTCTAATTAAAATTCTGGACGAATACCTTCTCCACAAGGTGACCATAAACATTTTAGCTGTTCTATCGCAGTATTTTGTTTGCAAGGTCTGAATGGTTCAGTAAGTACATTATGTTTTATCATTATGTCTCTCTTAATTTCACCAAACTGACTTAAGGGGGTATTCTGGTCTAGAGACATGAATCTTAGGTCATTTTTGAAGTGCTGTGAAAAAGTATGCAATATATTAACTGTCAATTTTTATACATTATTTAGTACCATTAGAAGGATACAAAAAAAATAAAAAAGTAAAAAATTGAAACTCCGTTAATTATCAGCTGATAAAATGGGCCGTCTCAAAAATATGGTGCGCGACCATACCTACGATTTAAACTCTCCAAGCGATCTGAAATCAAAAAGTAAAAACGATTATCAATCTGAAATTATGTCGCTATGTCCGGAACTACGGAAAAGCTACTGAAATATTTTTTTACAAAATGGGGACTGTCTAAAGAAAAAAACCATTTTTGTACCATTTTATTGAACATTCTTCGATTTTTTAAAAGTAGTTAAAATAAACATTTGGAGATGGCCGTAGTTCCGGACATAAACAAGTTTCTCAAGAAGACTATCTTAAAATTTCAAGTGAATCGGTTGGGCAGAATCTGAGAAATCGTGGGTAACAGATTCAAAAAAAAAGTTCTGAGAAAAACGCGTTTAAAGTTTCAAGTAAAATTTTTGCAGTCTTAGTCATGAAATTATATTTTAAACTTACATTTATTCAATCTGCTATTCCTGTTGCATTCATCGAACCTTCCTTGACTTCAAAATAAACTATTTTCGACGTCTGTATCGAGCAGTTCTGGCCTCCTTTGATGCACTGGATGCTCGTATCTGAGAGCGGTCAATCGGGGCGTTGTCTCGTCTTATAGCC